AAATTAATTCATTTTTTCCTATGAAATTGTGAAATTAAATGAATGGATTTTAGACATTTCCAAGCTTTCCATTTTGAAAAGAGGAGGCTATTTTTTTTTCAAAAAGGGAAGGACAAAAATGGATAAATAAGGTAAATCATGTTCATTCAACAGGCAGGCTGCATTGTTAGTGTCAAGATTTCTTCAATTTTTGAAATCAGTTGAAGGGAGGAAATTTTCCTACATGTACATTATATTAACCTCTTGCTTCCTCACAGACTTTTTAGCGCAATCTAAAAAGCAAGGTATGTTGTACAATACAAGGTCTTTTTGTAGCAATAAATTACATTATTATTTCAGTAGAGGGAGATAATTTTCTTTTTACTGATATTTGGTATGGATCCCTTCCATGGGGTACCAAAATGTTGCACTACAAGTTATTTCCACATTAAGTAGAATATATTGTGAGTGTACATTTATGTGTTAGAGATCTTGCAGAACTGCTCTTAATTGTCCATTTTAATGTCTTTATTAGATTTCCAATTGCATTTTATTTAGTTTAAAACCCAGCCTTCAGTGTTAAGAATCTGAATCACATGCACGAAAGTGTGTTTTTTAAGCCAACCAGATGTAACTAAAGTCTCTGATTTCCAATACTATTTATCAAAGTAGTTTGTAACTCCCTCCCTTTTTCCCTTAGATTTAAGAGTTGAATTGTGGTTTTCAGAAAGATGAGATTGTGCTTTGTAAGACTTGAAACCTGTAATCTTACCAAGGAGCACAATATATATAGTCAGTATAACACTGTTTACATTTGTGTATGTGGTCTCAGCTGGCAGGAGATGCAGTCAGACTTCTCAAGAGTCCTGGCATCTCGTGGCGTAACAAAAAGGATGATAGATATAAGAAACAGATGTTGAGGGTGTATGCATGTGTCTTTGAGTAAGTCTGGGGCTTGTTTACCCTGGAAATATTCAATATCAAATTATTAGAGCACAAAAATGGCTTGCTGCAGATTAAGATTGTTAACATGTAGGAGGGGAGACTTAATTTAGAACTGTTATCTTGGCAGCAAAATGAATTTAACCCTGGCAGCCCATGAGATCTTTAAAATGAGCAGATGTATTAAAGGCTTCTTGGTTAAACAAGCAGCTGCCCCCAAACAGTAATCAAGGTCTAGCAAGTATATTCCAATATAAATTACACAAGTAATCAATTCTCCAGAGCGACCAAGGCTGGCTTAAGTACAGCACTATTTTTTGAAAACCATTAGAGTTGCTATGAAATTATACCCTTTCACGGGCAGGGTGGCGGGACTCAGGGAGAAACTTGCTCCAAGAACCTACTGTAAGGCAAACTCAGGTGGTCCAGAAGGCTTTGCAGAAAAATGGCTTGGAAACTCCAGAGAAATCTGTTGAAAAACCTCTCCAGAAAATTGTTATGGGAACATATTCAGCTCTCTGAGAAGAGGGGAAAGGCAGAACAGTTTAGGTATCTGGCTACAGAGCTAGAGGTTGGGTGTTCGATTCCCCACTGTACCTCCCTGAGAGGGGCTGGACTTGATGGTCCATAGTTTCCCTTCCAGCTCTACAGTGCTATGATGATGTAGAACTGCTACTGTGTTTTCGCAAGAATAAGACAGGGTCTTATGTTAGTTTTTGCTCCAGAAATGCATTAGGGCTTATTTTCAGGGGATGTTTTTTTTTTTTTTTCATGTACAACAATCTGCATTTACTCAAATACCGTCATGTCATCTTCTTCTGGTTGCTGCACAATCGGAGTTTCACTTAACTGGGGCTTATTTTCGGGCTTATATTATGATCATCCTGAAAAATCATCCTAGGGCTTATTTTCAGGTTAGGCCATATTTTTAGGGAAACAGGGTAGATAGCTAAGTATGTAGACCAAACAATATAAGACATCCAGTTGACTATCTGGATAGTCAAGCAGAGTAGAAGAAAATCAGCAACCAGAACAGGATCCCAGGAAGGAGAAGCATTCAAACAGGAGACACTTGGCATCTCACAACAGTGACCATCCCACTACCCCACTATAGTGCCTTGGATGTCCTGATGCAAACTCCAGCCAGGGTATCCCAGAGATTTGTTAAGGGACCCAGAGATTCAGAGGATGAGATGGTCGGATGGTGTCACTAAAGCTACCAACATGAATTTGACCCAACTCTGGGAGGCAGTGGAAGACAGGAGGGCCTGGCGTGCTCTGGTCCATGGGGTCACGAAGAGTCGGACATGACTAAATGACTAAACAGCAACAACAAATAGATTCTTAACTGATCCTAATAAAAAACAGCTAACGGCCTTAGTTATTTGTGGTCTCTGAATTATTATTGATGCAGCCATTCCAGACACACCAAATCTAAAAGCAAGACCTTATTCATAAGCTTGATGGCTCCCAATGAAACTGCATAGAAGTACAGACATGGTTTCCCAGTGCCTGGTGAGATTCACAAGGAGGTAGCAGTATCTCTCTGTGGGTTTCCTCTCCCCTTGTGTAATATACATCTGCTGTGTTGTATGTGGTTTTTGGGGGGGAGGGTTAAAGCTTATTTCATTCTCTTAAGCCTTCCTCTTACTGGGGATCTCCTCCCTATCACCAATAAGAACTGAGAATAGCTGTAAATACTCTGCCTGTGCTTTAGCTCAGGTGCATTTAAGTGCCACACTAGACTTGGTTCTACAATGTATGCAGACCATGGGCTGAGTGACCCCTATCAATTTGTGCAGTACCCAGATCTTCCCAGACCACCAATGCACATTCTCTCTCTCACACTTTAAAAAAGTCAAAAAAGAGAGAGAATTGCCATTCCAGAAGCCTCCAGCAATAGCAATTTTCTTTCAAAACAAGATTCATGGCTGAAATGTGGTTTTACAAAGTGTAAATAGATTTTGATTAATTCTTGCTTTATTGGGGGGGGGGAGGTTAGTGTCACTTTCAGCATGTTGTGGGGACAACAAAGGTTGGCCGCTGGGCCCCAAGATAAGGTACCAACCTGAATTTTTTTAAAAAATCAGCTTATAGGAATTCTCCCCCAACATTTTGTGTGCTGTGTGATTTTTCTAATGCCATGGACAAAATACAGAGAAACACTTCATATTCTTGTGCGGTTTTCATAGCTGCTCAAAAGGTCTTCACTATCTGAGCACATTGAGTTTGATATATAACTCCAAACTTGCTGAATTTCAGCTCAGCTTTATTAAATACATTAGATCAAATAGCTGCTTGGTCAAGATAATAATCAAGAATAAAATTACATCCATTCAAATAAAATATGATTTAATCTTCTGTGGCATTCAGGTCAGGTGACCACAAATAACTAAGGGCATTGGCCATCTTTATTAGGCCTTCATTAACTTGGATACTGACTTCATAATGTCAACATTTTGACATAACATCAGTTAAGAATCTATAACCACAACAATGTCTAAAATGCAAAGTATGAATGAATACAAATTTGGAAGCCAACAAAAGTAGATATGTTAAAATTCCCATGCTGAGTCTCTGTAAGTAGAACTCAGCTAGTCCTTACCTAAAGCAGAGGAGAATTTCTTTGCACTAAAAAGATTGGGGTGGCCAATCTTACCTCTGACTTGAAAGAACTTTTTCCCTAAGTAATTGTACCTTGCACCATAACTTTTTTAAAAAAAAAAACCACCCTCTCGCTTTCTTGGTTTATTTTAATTATTCTCTTTAATAGGATATTTTTCGGTAAATGAAACCAGTGACTATTGACTTGTCTGTCATGTTCTTTTGGGGGGAAAAATAATGGAAAAAAGTATTTGCTTCCTAAACTCAGTTCTCTTCTTATGAGCAGGAGAGCACTCAACAAGTTTAGGGTTTTTCTCCAGAGACGATAAAGATAGGACTTAAAACTGAGAGTCTTCTGCCAACCACCATTTCATGTTCCTGCCTATTCCACGTTCCTACAGTACCAGCTTAAATGGAAAGGCCATGTGTCCCTTTGTATTGCCTTCTTGAGTGTATCCTTATCACCATGGACAGTGAGGTGGCACAATTGCTAGTCTGGCAGCATGGATGACAGGAGAGTTTGGGTGGGAAGTGCAGCTACAGTCTCCACTCTGCCAGTTTTGCATCAGTCAAGATGCATCTCTTTGCACTGCCTGTTCAATCCCTACAGATTTCTGACCCAGGAAAAGCAGAGAAAGTGCTACAGGCTCTTGCATCCCCATTCCCCTCTTGTGCAACATACAGCCACATTTAAGCATCACTTCCATAAATGTCAGGCCACCTCCAAAGTTGTTTCTGCTCATACGGCCATTGAGTTTACCTGGAACCCTTGTAGTAGCTCGGACACAGTGGGTTTTCCCAGAAACAGTATGTTGTTATGCGCTGTCCCCCTTGTACTGTACTCCTCGGGTAATGCAACATGGTGGAGTCTGGGAATTAAGAGCCATTCACTGTATAAAAGAACTGCTTTCGCTGGAAACAAAATTGCTAAAACTCAGTTGTTGACGTGGACCCAACCAGCTGTCTCAGGTTTTGGACTTTCTTTTGAGGAGAATGGCTAACAAGATGAGCAGTTGCCTGGTGGAAGCAGTGGAAGCAGAACTAAGGGACGGAAAGGAAAAAAAGTGATACAGGAAGCCAAGACATAGTGGTGAAACTCTCGCACTAATTCTTTAAAATGTCTGTTTTGAAGGCAAGCAAAACAGACTGAAAGATATCCCAAAAGATAACTACGTTTAAAACACAATACCTTGCTGCTTTATGTGAACCACTGTGGGGCAGTAGATACAGTGCTGGTTCTTTATCTGGAAAACATGGTCCAGAAATTCTGGTTATGTATGGATTCCTGGGTGACCTTTATCAAATTACTATTTGTAACTGTTTATTTTTACTACTAATGACCTGATCAAGGTGTCAGGAAGGGGTTGGTGTGAGAAATTTGAAAACTACCGTTTTAAGACCTTTTGTAAAATCCAAAACTATTCTGTTAGTAGTTTAAAATGTAAATTTTTCTATTTTCCATGTTCAGAAACAGATTTTATGAAATACTGCTAGCATTATAGAGTTCAGTCAGTTTAGATTTATATAATTTTCTTTTTTTTTATGCAGAACAGTGGCTGACTGACATTCTCCCCCATGTTGCAACTTCTTGATCTAAAATTTTTAGTTTCCGCTTTCTACACAGAAGTCTTTTTCATTTCATTTTCTTTTGTCCCTGCTGTTCTTTGTATTGGCAATGTAAATCTGCCTGCCTTTTTAATGTTTCAAATTGTGCTTGCTCCTCTCCAGAATATCTGGATATTGAAAGCAAAATTATATAACCAGAGTTGCATCCATTTAAATCAAGCTGTAGTTACTTTAGAGAGAAAGTTCATGTCCTAAATCATTCTGTCTGCATCAAAATAATTGTATGATTACGTACTGGGCTGACTTTCTACTTACTTTTCATTCCTGGCAAACTCATTTTACATAATGAACAGAAATTAGATGTTCTTGTTTGATTTTGACATGGATGAAATCTGTATTTTATTTTATTTCCAGAATAATGTATTCACAATTAAAGATGTGGACAAACTGTGTGGAATTAAACTTTTGAGGTTATAAATCAAAGTAGGCCTGATTTTCTTTATCTTCACCTCATCTGCTTTGAATTTTACATATCTTCCTGAACAAAGCCATGTTTGTAAAGGATATTAAGTTTTGTTTGGTCTTCCTCTCCATTTTAAAGTACTTGGTGGACTTTAATATGAAGTTATGATCCCCTAGACTGATTGATATATAAACATAAGACAGATGGTTTAAAGATGACTCTGATGATAATTCATTTTTCAGCTAGACTCGAAGATACTTTGATTACAGTATGTTTAAGCAATTATAACACAGTTTTCAGCGTTAGTCTTGTAGGTAGAGAACACATGGAAAACAAGTTGCACGTTCTTCAGCCCCAACAAAGGGTGCACTGTGATATGACCCATTTTAATGCAGAATGTTAGGTTAGCAACATAGAAATTTAAAATATGTCATACAGCAAGGTAAATAAATTAGACATAGACTCAATATAGAGTAAGGTACATAGTTTTTTGGCATAAATATTTGTTTTGGAAAGTATTTGTTGCTATATGAAAGAAGCCAGTATTTGAATTTCAGTTTGACTTTGCATGCAGCTTGTTAAAAAGTTACACGGTATGTTTTTAAAGCTTACAGGAGACCTACCTATATAATGTAGTTTATTTTATTTTTAATTTTTGGAGGAAATATTTTTAAGGCAAAGTGTTGTGTGAGAGAAAAAATATTGCAGCAACCAGACTTTTTGAGAAAGTATATCTTGTTCTAAATCGTGTTTGCTCAGCCATCCATTTAGAGAGCTTTAGCATGTTCCAGCAGTAAAAATTGTTGTAATGTAACATGCCGCCTGTTACTAAAGAATGTTACAGAACATCAAAAAATGACATATACTTAATATTGTCAGTTTTTCAGCTGAACGTCTTGTGTGTGTGTCTCTTTCATAGGATAATTGATCGCTTGGATGGTGTGCGTTTGTTATGGTCCTTGTTGAAAAATCCTCATCCAGATGTTCAGGCAAGTGCAGCCTGGGCTATCTGTCCTTGCATTGAAAATGCAAAGGTGAGAAAATGTGTTTTTTTCACACCTGTTTTTCTAAACTATTCACAAAATGTGAATTAAATAGACAGTTCAGGTATTTTGGATCAAGGTGGTTGTAATGCCTTAAAAATGGTAGCGGGATTTGCACTTGTGACAACATGGGCAACAGCTGGAGTTTCCTTTTGTGCTTTAGCAAATCGTTTAACTGATTCAGAATGAAAGCCAGCCTATAAACCTAAAGGATGTAAGGTATCCAGCAAATCCATAGTGACTGCAACACTGAAGTCAGCAGAGGCAAAGCTCAAGCAAAATGTGTCTTCCACTCATGTTAGCTTAGCTAAGTAACGTGATCAGTCTTGATATGTATGTCAGAAGGAGCTGATATCTACAGTCCTCTGCAACACCAGAAGCTGTCTGGATAGTTCAATGGCTTAGATATCTGGCTGCAGAGCGAGAAGTTGGGAGTTCATTTCCCCACTGTGCCTCCTGCAGGAACAGCCAGCCTGTTTCACCTTGAATAAGCTGCACAGCCCCAGGTTACCCCCAGAAGAAGGAAATAGTACACAATTTCTGAGTATTCTCTACCTGGAAAACCCTGGAAAGGGTTGCCAATCTGTCAGAATTTACTTGATGGCACATACTGTGGTGCCTCGCTAGACAGTTACCCCACATGACAGTTTTTTCGCTAGACAATGGAAGGGGAACTATGGATCACAGTGATTCCTATGGGGGAATTTCGCTGGACAATGTTTGGTCCCTGCTTCGCAAACCAATTTTCGCTAGACAACAATTTTGACAGCTCCCTCCGTGCTTGCAAAATGGGTGTTTTTGGGACCTAAGCTTCGCAAGACAGCTATTTAAACCGCTGATCGACGGTTTGCAAAGTGGCTTTCCTATGGCCGATGTTCGCTAGACAACGACAATTCTTCCCCATTGGAACACATTAAACAGGTTTCAATGCATTCCAGTGGGGAAATGTTTTTCGCTAGACAATGATTTCGCTAAACAGCGATTTCAGTGGAACCGATTATCATCGTCTAACGAGGCACTACTGTAATTATTACTATACAGTGGTACCTCAACTTACGAATGTCTCCACTTGCGAACGATTCTAGTTACAAACGGCTCCGTTCGCAAAAGTTGCTTCGACTTGCGAATGGAGACTTGACTTACAAACTCATCTTAGGTCAAAAGAAGAAAATTTTTAAAAACATTTTTAAAAATTCTCCCCCTAGTGGTAGAGTACAGATTAACCAGCTTTGCATTAGTTCCTATGGGAACTAATGCCTCTACCTACGAACAGCACCTCCACATACGAACGAAAAACAGCAGGTATGGATTAAATGGTTTTCAATGCATTCCTATGGAAAAGTTTGCCTTGACTTACGAACTTTTTGATGTACGAATGCCGTTCCAATATTGATTAAGTTTGTAAGTCGAAGTGCCACTGTACAACACTAATCACCAAGACACTGCATCTGTGCAGTGCAGGATTAAACAGAAAATAAGAATGGTGCAAAGAGACTCAAAAGCAGTTGCATGCTAGAATTAAAGGGGTAATGCAATTGTTAGCACCAATTGGAGTAGACACATTAACTAAATGGGACTTGCATGAGCATTCACTTAACAAGTCACCTTGACTTAATAAATCTGTTTCATGTGAAGTTAACTACTGGATTTAACCTAGACATTTTGTAGTATGACTTCTTTAATTTTGTCATGTGCCAGAAGGCATGATCCACAAACCTTTCCCTTCCATCATCCTTCAATGGTATCCAAACAGCCTCACTGTCTCCATGCAGTGAAGGAGGGAAGCAAGGGTAACATCAACACGGCAGAGGACATCTCTGTGTTATGATAAGCTATGCTACTTCTGCTAGTAACTATTATTATTTTGTAGTAATAGAGTATTTATAAACAGATTTGAATGTATTTGATATTTTATACGATAAAGAAGAGCAGCCTGTGTAAGAAACAAAATCATCTTAACAGAGGGAGATTTAGATTAATTAGCCAGTTAATTCAATAGCTACAAACCATAACAGTAGAAGTAATTGCTGTGACAGAGTGGAAGCATATTGGCCAATCCAAGCAAATAATTATGAAAAATTGCAGTGAAAAGTGTTCTAAGCACTGTTGATATTGGAAAGTCATTTTGTAGTCATGCTACTACTTTTATTCCCCATGGTGAATAGTGTAAACATAAAAAATATTCAGAAATTACAAAGTCTTCCTTGTTTCAAGCAGAGTTAGCATGTTGATCCCAAACAAAGACAGTTGAGATCCCAAATTATTCCGCACTTGTTACTGGCTATTCAACAGACACTTTTATTTGTAGACAGCAATACTTTGAGCTGACCCAGACTTTAGCGAGTAAAAATCTTGCCTCCTAATATTATGAAATTCACCAAATAACACAAATAGGGGATAGTTATTTACATCTATCATTTATCAGTAGCAGCTTTAACTTTTCTTTAACTTTGTTGGAAATAAGTGGTTTAAAAACCCCATTATAATGGTTGCTTATTACCACCTGCTTTTCTTGGTGCATTTATCTTTTAATACATAAAGCTCTAAAGTATTATGCATGGGCAGAGGAGCTATATACTGTGGCCTGAGCTCATGGAACACACAGGTAAAAATGTGCTCCCCTTTCTTTGAGTACAATCAGATAGGATTTTAACCACTGTTTAGTTTGCTGCAGGGACATGTTGGTGATTACATGACATAATTGCTGGAGTGAACCAGCCCACCTCCCAGGGCATTTCTACTTGCACCTTTCTGGGTCTCTGTTGGAAGCTTCTACCTTTTTTGTGTGGGCAGGACTGTTCCGTTTTTGTTTCCAGTGTGTGCAGTCTCTGGAAACAAACCAAAGCAAGCCCTGAGTTGTTAAGGCTATCAAAGCTCCTTCTGTTATCAATTTGGCATTTTAAGAAATGTCTTAACAAGAGACTCACTTCAGGATACTGGCCAATGAAACACTTCATATGTGCCTCTGTGGAGGGGTAGAGAAAGAAAGAAAAAGATTCTATTAGGGCAGTGCTGATGTGCTGCATCACTTAAAAAAACTTTAATTGAAAACTTCCTCCCAGACATAGGAGGGGCAATAAGAGGTGTGTTTTTCCCTTTTCTTCGACTTCTCTTCAAGGTCCAGTCAAGAACCTGCTTGCATTTGGTGAATCCACCACCAGCCGGTACTCAGTAATCTTTCTTTATAATCCATATCTTCAGACAAGTGTCTGAAGAAATGTGATGTAAACTATGAATGATCACACTGAAATAAATCTGCTGGTCTTTAAAAGTGCCACAATATCTTTGCTTTTGCTTTTGATCTGCTATTACTTTTATGTTTGCCCACAATTGTACCAGAAAAGGTTAATGTGTTGTTTCCTTTTAGCTTTGGTTTGTAATAAGTCTATGACTTATTGAAGTGGGTTTATTTCATAACTTTTGAATCTTTACAGACAGATGGTGTTAAATGTACTTCTTGATCTTCAGAGGGTCACTGTGTATGATACAATACCTGTCTGGTTTGCCAGACTGCTATCTATAGAATTGGGTGACTCCTGAGAATATAAACATTGCATCTCTTATACAACCAATTCCCCTGATATTTACATCATGGATTCTTCAATTTTCCTTATGGTATGATTTTTCCTTTCTCCTGTAATGGTACATTCTGAAATGCAAAAGAGGTAATGAATGCTCTCCTTCCTGCTTTCCTGTAAATGGACTTTGTAAGCTGAGTGTGCTTTAAACTGTAAGCTGTAGAGCTGGACAGGGACAGTACTTTAGAAGGAAGCATAAATCCACAGAGGACTCTTGGTAACTCAGGTTTATTTGCACAGCCATACCATCACATTTTTGGGCAACAGCAAGCCGGGTTGATAAATTGGCTTTGACATCTGACATTTTCTAAGATGTTCCAAAATGGAAAATACTAGTGATTTTGCTGTTGGGAAGCTTTTATCTATAAGGGTAGAATATTTATAAACACGGTGCCTTTTCAGAGCAGCCTTTAGTTTACAGTACTTCAGACTAAGAAGAGAATGTGGTTCTTTGAGACATGAAAGAGGTTTGAAACTTTAGGATTTTGGCAGACAAGTAATAATATATATATAATGGGATGCTGGTATGAAAACCAACAGATGGTGATGATCTGGTTCAATAAATCACATATGTCCCAAAGAGGTGACCCCCACAGATTCCAGTGAATTCCAGTGGTTCTTTTGGGATTGACTCAAGTTATGGTCAAGATCCAACAGTGTATTTCCGTATCCAATGCCAATGGAATATAGCATTTCTTCTCTCTGTACTGCAGACCCACGTACTCTAAAACCTGTTCCAGAGCTGTTCCCAGTTTGTGGAGTGCATTTCTTAGAGTGCAAGCAAAGCTGAAAGAGGGAGGAAAGATTGCCCATTGTGGCAAAAAGGAAAGAGTGGAGCTAACTGAATTATCCCATTGGTTTCTGGCCACTGACTTCTATTGCACCATTGGGAAAAACAGTTTTTGTTGCTTTGCCACTTCTTTGTACATTGGTAAATTGGAAGGAGGGGGTCTAATTTCTAAATGGTGTGGGGGAACCCTATTTATGTCTGCAAAAATAATCTAAGGAATTGGAACTGAAATGTTTGAACTAAGCAACCTGAAATATAATCAACAACTATTGGGGAGACAGCGGTCACAGTGACAAAAAATATAGTACCATGATCATTGGATGGTCTGAAATATAATCAACAACTATTGGGGGGACAGGGGTCACAATGACAAAAAATATATAGAACATGATCATTGGATGGAAATTGTATACGAACACTTGCATGACTGTGTGTCTGATGGCCAGTATTAACACCAGTCCTAACAACCACTTTGTCACTGTGACCCCTGTCACAGTATACACTTGCATGACTGTGTGTCAGATGACCAGTATTAACACCAGTCCTAACAACCACTGGAACTATATTACTTTACAATGCTGTTCCTGTGAATTATTGCAGCTTGGATTTACATAGTGAAATATGATTATGATAGTTGCACATTTGATGGACAACCAAGCCTTCAGTTTGGACCAGTGCAGATACAGGGCTAAATCCAATTGTTAGTAGTATCTAGAGTAGACCACTGAACCGAGAGAACTTCCATAAGAGTTGACTAAACAAGTTCCATCAATTTGGTGGGTTAGATTTAGCCTAAATCCAGTAAGTAGAGTACATCCATTGAATCAATGGAATTTACGTAGATAAACATTGATTTATATACTATTCAGTAATAGATCCATTGAGTTGCTCTAGTTGGGATAAAAAACTGAATTTTGGCCACCATCTGTTCTCTTGAACTGTCTGCCTTGGAACCAAAGATAAAGGATGGGATGTGAATTAATTATAAAATTAATTGCATTCATTACATGTAATTTTTATTGAGCCACCTAACATGTATGATAATTCTTTTGCTTTATTATCACTTAGGATGCTGGTGAAATGGTTCGTTCATTTGTTGGTGGCTTGGAACTGATAGTGAATTTACTAAAATCGGATAACAAAGAAGTCCTGGCAAGTGTGTGTGCTGCTATCACCAACATAGCAAAGGATGAAGAAAATTTAGCTGTTATAACAGATCATGGTGTTGTCCCTTTGTTGTCCAAACTAGCAAATACAGTAAGTAATACCTTTTACATAATATGCTTTGACAGTTGTTAGCATACTGAAACATGGTACATGACAGCCTTTTCTTGCTGCCATGAAACATTCACTGTGATGTTGTAGAACAAAAAGGAAGCAAAGTAAAATAAATGGCATATTCCAGATGGAAGAAGGAAAATACAAGAAACTGAAAAAGGCTTTGGTGTTGGCTTGCTATGAAGCAGCTGGGGAGGAAACAATTAGATATATTCTCTGTCTATCTTGAACTGCAGGTAGACTGAATTCTACATGGCTTAATAATAATTATATGCCATCAAGTCAATTCTAGGTAGAAAGTACTCAGAATTGCTTGACCATTCCCTTGTTCTGGAGGCAACCTGGGACTGTAGCGCTTGCCCAAGGCTACACAGGCTCTTTCCCAGGTGAATTGAACTCCCAGCCTCTGGCTCTGAAACCAGATACCTAACTCATTTAGCTATTCAGCCAGCTGATGTCATGGAGGAAGAAAGGAGGCACAGAAAAGAAATGGATAGATATATTTTGTGTCTACTTGAAACTGTGGGTAGTCTGAGTTCTACATGATTTACAGAACATTAAACTATTCAAAACATTGATTGATTGATTGATTGATTGATTGATTGATTGATTTTTAGCCCATTTTTAAAAAACAACTCCTGTGCCCCATTAGCCCTCAAGATAATCAACAAATTGAATAAAACAAGAATGATTATAAAAGACAAATGAATCCAGGCACTCAATGAAAAACAAGTGCAATGTATTCGCAAAGACTTTCATTGCTGGGATCGAATGGTTGTTGTGGGGTTTTTGGGCTCTTTGGCCGTGTTCTGAAGGTTGTTCTTCCTAACGTTTCGCCAGTCTCTGTGGCCGGCATCTTCGGAGGACAGCACTCTATGCTCTGGTCAGAGTGCTGTCCTCTGAAGAGGCCGGCCACAGAGACTGGCGAAACATTAGGAAGAACAACCTTCAGAACACAGCTAAAGAGCCTGAAAAAGCCACAACAAAAACAAGTGCAGTTAATTCCACTGATATTCTAATAAGTCTGTTAAAGCACACCATTCCCTTAATGGGGAAAAAAACCAACAACAGACTAGGCAACTCAGTAAAACTATGGCTGTGACAGTATCCATTGTGAATGGCATTTAACTGGTAGCAGAAGTGGTCATGACTGCCCTTGTTTGTCAGGTTCCACCTTACAGATGTTCCACCTTACCTTATTGGTGAGCCGCAACGTCCATGCCATAAAGGTAACATCAGAAGGAGCACTAGCAACAGTAGCAATCAGCTGCATTCTTATTGGTGGCTCACACCATCACACCAGTGACTTTTGTTAAAATGACTGGGAATCTATTTTTGTTCACTCATTTTTTTCTCCGTACCTAGAACAACGACAAGTTAAGGCGTCACCTGGCAGAGGCCATTTCTCGCTGCTGCATGTGGGGAAATAACAGAGTTGCCTTTGGCGACACCAAAGCTGTCGCCCCTTTAGTCCGTTACTTGAAGTCTAATGACCCAACAGTTCATCGAGCTACAGCACAAGCCCTCTATCAACTTTCAGAAGATCCCAACAATTGTATCACGATGCATGAAAATGGGGTGGTAAAGGTGAGAAGACTCTATTTCCGTTACGTTTTTGCATGGTGGGAGTTTCTGGAAGTGGATTTCAGTTTCTGAGGGTGGCCATGTTTGGGAAATGAACTGGCTGCTCTCCAAAGTATGGAACTAAATCGAAGGAGGAAGAGATGGCTCCTTTGGAAAGCAGGAAGCCTACATTGCTTTGAAATATGCCTTACAATGCAATGCCATTATGTTGAATTTCTCTGGTCCTGCTTCACTTCCTCTGCCTGCTGCTTAAGCAGATCAGGATACTTCGTGTGTAATGACTTCGCGTCCGGTGTCCCATTTCTTTTCATTTTGCTAAGGAGAGAGTTGAGTTTAATTTTAAAAAAAAAATACTTTTACTTTGCCTTTCTCCTTAAAAAGGAGCCATGCACCTCTACTATAATCCCATACTAAATTTGCCTTAAATGTACAAGAGTTTTCATTCCAGGGCTATTGTGTTTAATCAGGGCCAGGCCAGTCATGAGCCACATTGAGGTGGTAGCCTCGGGTGAAGGACCATTCATCACTGTTTGAAACATTGAACATCACTGCTAGGACTTGGAGTGCATGCAGATTTTTTGGCCACATCCCCCACAAGGTCATGGGCCCAAGGAGTCTGTTGGAGCCACCAGGGGGTGTTCAAACAGGCATCAAAGAAGGGGCTTGACCCAGTGATTTGGGAAAGCAAAGCTCTGGCATCGCCCACTAACTCCTCCTCCTTCCCCTCCATGCCAGCGTTGTTGCATGCCGGTGGTAGGCATATCTGGGGCAGCCGCTTCTTCCCAGATCAGGCAACAGAAGAACCTGCAAACGGCCAGGACTAAATCCAATTTATTTCCACTTAGAGTAGACCCCTTGAGATGAATAAGATTTTCACTTCATTGGTTAATTTCAATGCAATTATTATAGTGGGATCAAATTAGATCTAGCCCCGTGGTTTCCACAGCGAATGGTGAACCCTTCTGGGAGTTGCAGTCCAAGAAAACCTGAATTACTCAAAGTTGAGAACCACTGATTTAGCCAATTGTTGTAATCCTACCTGTACGTCTCTATTAGTTTAAAATAGCCAAAAATCCTTTAGGTTTTTTTTTAATCTGAGGACAGTTTTAACTGTGTGAAAGATTTAAAATCAAATCACACAGTTATGCATAATTTTTGGAAGAAAAAGAATAAGTAAGTCTAAAAATATAGATATTCCAGTTTGTTTGTTTGTTTCAAAAAACTTGCATACTGCCCAAATAATGCTAGTCACTACTCTGAGCAGTTTAAATCAAAAGAAACAATCAGTGGAATATAACATGAGAAACAAACAAACAAAATACATCAGGTCATCAAATAAAAACAAATAATCAAGCAATTAAAAAACAATGATATGCATAAGACAAAGTACACCTAAGAATAGCAAAATTGTGGCAAAGTCTAGAAAAACATTTAACCAAGGATGCTTTTGAAGGCTTCTTCAAACAACTAAAAGAGAGCAGGGAGGGCACCAGGCATAGCTCACCTGGGAGCCCATTTGATAGGGATGGTGTCACAACTGTGAAGGCCGGTTTCTTTTGGATGTCTTTCTGCCCTCTCTTTGAGTGGCAACCCATAGCATGTGCAGATCAGGTGGTGTGGGCTGATGTTCTTAAGGAAAGATGCTCCGACAAGTAACAGGGTCCCAAACAATAATATCCCTTCTCCAGCAATATCTGGAGCTAGTCCACCACCATCTGCTCAACCAGCTTACCCATGAAGGGGATATTGGCAATAAGCCTTAATGTTAGTGAAAAAATGGCATTCATCTTTTAATTCCTAAGAGTACACTGTGATTTTCTGTAGCATCAAATGGGTGTTTGATGATATTGTACATATTGGACAGACCATTGCCTTATGTTCAAATTTTCCTGAACAGAATTTTGAACCCTGTAATTGGTTAGAGCTAATTTATTTCTGTAGTTCTTTGCTCTGATTCTCTAATTGGAAAAGTCAATGGTTGATAAAGGAAAAAGGATTGTGTTAAGATGAGAAATCTAGAATCTGAAACTCAAAATATAGTTTTGGAACGTAGATTCTATAGGATAACCAATTTTCTTCTCTTTCTTTTTCTATCACATTTGAAGCTATCTCCATATTTTTAGGCACAATTATCAATAAGTCTGTTGCTGAAATAAAAGATAACAGAGGACAGAATTTCCTAGTCACAGCACCTTTCCCTTCACTCTAGATCAAAAGTGAAGGAGAAATTCTAGGTCAAAAGGAGGCTCACAGGAACAAGTTATGATCTGTCCCTAACTCACTACTAACAGAAGAAGGTGGTGGTGGGAAACATGCCAATTCAGTTCTACTCCCCAAGTGTGAACAATAATTCTATCAATCCCTATTGCCATTTTCTTTCAAAAAAAAAAAAAGGTTATATAAACTTATATGGATAGTTGGTACACAGATCAGTAGCAAATCCATCATGGAGTCAACTAGATCATGGGCAGACATCCAATGTGAGTTTAATTTCAGTGTTAACTATGTTGTTGTTTAGTCGTTAAGTCATGTCCGACTCTTTGTGACCCCATGGACCAGAGCACCCCAGGCCCTCCTGTCTTCCACCGCCTCCCGGAGTATGGTCAAATTCATGTTGGTCGCTTCGATGACACTGTCCAACCAAAATCTTGTCTTCTGCAGCTAAATACCTTTCAAGGGGGCTATTCTTCTTCTAAAAGGTGCAATATCCAACAGAAGTTGTTAGAGCAAGGTTCTTCACACAAGCACATTCATTATTTGATAGGCTGCATGTGTGAACTTTATCCCCATGGATGTCATGCTCAAGAAAGAATGTTCATATCAGTTCTTGTCACCTTCTAAATCAATGTGTTTCAATTAGTTCATACACTCAATAACCAGGTATTGAGTATGGTGAAATGACTGAATATTTGAGCCAGCCCATTGTCAGTCTAATCCCAGGTAGGAGACAACCACAAGAATTGAGATGAGCTTATTGTTGCTGTCAGTCTCTCCCTTTTGGTAAGTTTCTAATTTAGGAATGTTTGGATAACAAATTTGGACACTGGCACCCTCATCTTGGCATGTTCTGAATATCTTTTAGTCTTATAAAAAGAAGCTTGTCCCACGAAGCTGTAGGTTTGCTGGAGCAGTTCAACAGAAGCTGTGCCCTGCAGCTCTTTTGGTGATAAATGAGCCGTTTCAAATAAATGGACCTGCAGCCAATTTATGCAGAAGGAATCATTAAAACATTTTTAAATATACAGTTTTGAAAGCTCAGAATGTATAAACAAGGTATGCTAAACCCAAATATATACTGCTCATTTTAATGGAAAAGGTTGCTGCTCATTGACTCATCCAGCCTTCACAGGATTTGCCAAAAAGCCAAAGAATCTGGCACAGGCCATAGATAACAGTTCCATCTTTCATCTAGGTTTCTCTTCTGTATTTATCTTGCTTCAGAGAATGCAGGGAATGTCCTTTTCTTCTGACTTGGCGCTTTTTCCAAACCACAGAAATACACTGAGCAGCTTCTTGCAATTGTCTTAAGACGGATGTCAGTTTAGGAGACTTTCTAAAGAAGTCAGGCTGGGATCCAGAGAGCCAGCCCTGTGCACAAGTGGGAAGCATTTTCAGGCATGCACAGAGGCATCACCATCTCCAATGTCTTCCTGCATACAACAGTATCCCCTAATCCAGTGGTCCCCAACCTTGGGCCTCCAGATGTTCTTGGATCTCAACTCCCAGAAATCCTGGCCAGCAGAGGGGGTGCTGAAGGCTTCTGGGAGTTGTAGTCCAAGAACATCTGGAGGCCCAAGGTTGGGGACCACTGCCCTAATCAACACACATGTTGCTTTTCAGGGTTGTAAAGGGGCCCTTGCTATGCAGTGGGAATACAGTATATCATCACCCTTTGAATCCTGACCAAAGTCTTCAAAAGATACTTTACTTTTAAATGGCACTGTCTTAATCAAAAACAAGCAGGCAAACAAAATGCCTGTAAAGTTAGCCAAATGAGTTTCTTTTAACTGGCAGGTACTGGGCTTTGCACACTGAGGCAAGGTGCCAGCTAATTATTTTTGGCAGAGAGCTGAGCAAAAATACTTTCCTTGCAAAAGAAACTATTCACAGAAGCTGAACATAAGAAATAACAATAAAAGTGGTATTTCAGACTTCTTGACTAGTCTTTTTGGCATTTGTTGAAAATATGATACATTTCTGCCTGAGAATAGCAAGTTTATTTTTACCAGTTTCTATCTACGAAACAAATATTCCGGGGTCTCTTCTTAGGAGAGCATTTGCATATATTTACATATACCCCTTCCAAAGTGGCAAGATCTTTACTATATTTGTGAACAGTTCCCCAAAGTGTCTAGTTTTGCCCAACTCAATGGGGCTGCAGTAATGCATTTAAAGGTGATTTAACCAAATTTTTTGGTGTTTGTGTGTAAAGAGCAGCTGGTAGATGCATTTAGTTTTTGAAAGCAAACTGGTAGAGGAAGAAAACCTTGCTTTTACAAGAAAGGTCTTCATTCATGTCTTTGTACATAGATCCAGAGGAAAGGAATGCATTTCATTCTTTGCTGGCTGGTTGCTTGGCAGGTTCCAAGCAAGTGGTAAAGGTTATATATCTTGTTGCGGTCTTCGGGTCATACAGCACCTTTAAAAATCTTGAATCTTGTAAAAGTTCTGAATTTCAGCAGCTGGTGGGACAATTTAGGACTGGACAGGGCTCTGAGGATGAAAGTCACGAAGCATCTGTTCAGATCTACTCTGCAGGTGGGCATTGATTTCAAACAATATTTTGATCCGTCTAACCCAGTGTGGAAGGCTATAGAATATACGAGTTTCACATTTTCTTTTGACTGAGCTCTTAACTTCCAGCCTGAACTCTGTTGTTGTTGTTGTTGTTTCTGGTAATATGATGGTATTAAACCACCACTTCGGGATGTCCATTTAACAACTAGACAGAATTGACAGCATTGACTGATTGACAATTGGTAGAATTGTCAGGGGGCAAGTGA